AGCAAAAGCTAAAAAGGTCATTGTATAGCAGATACACCGCGTAATAAAGTACTTTTAAACCATTTCCAGAAAGAATTGGTTACATTTATTAGACATATGTAAGTAAGGCCAACATCCTGTTTAGAAAAGAACGATAAACAAAAAAAAAAACAAAAAAAAAACAAAAAACAATACTAACTATGAGAGCAAAATACTTTGCGAAAGAAAAGGATAGGAGAAGTAAGCTTTACGCTTGAATAGATTCCATTGTTTGTATTGTTGTTGTTGTTGTCTCGAAAACGGCTAAAGCAAGTAAGAACAACTAACTGCGAGAAGCTCTCAACTAAATTCTTATGCATTCGCCTTTGTTGTTACTGTGTTGCTGCTGTTTGGTGCTGTTGCTACTGTTGCTACTGCCATTGCCGCCATAGTTGACAGTGGAAAACCAACGACAACAAAAACTTAATGTACGTACATCGTTCATGCAAACTTTCGGCCAAACATGTGAACATAGTTGAAAAATTGTTTTTTTTTTTATTTTCTTCTTACAAATGTTGGGATATTTTTGTTTGACTTAAACAAGAATCGAGCAGCAGCAGCAACAATAACAACAACAAAAATATATACCCACTTGTACAGCTTTTTAACGATATTTTAATGTTAGTGTGTATTGTGTTAGTGTGTATTTTATTTATTCTTACTTACTCCTCTCTCAGTTAGCTAAAAGACATTGCATTCGTGTGTTTATTATTTTACTAAACAAAGTATGAGTGCCGCCGCCACGTTTTACGTCTCTGAAAATTTTTTGCGTAGTTCTTATAGGAGTAGTTAAAACACGTATGAAGTTTGCCATTTCATGTGAGGTTCGTGGAGTACGCATATATGCGTCTTATTATCAAGACTGCAGAGCTAAGATTTTTACGAATGCCAAACCAGATCAGATGAACCAGGCGTGAGAAGTGGTACATGCACTTAAGGTTTAAAATTACGTGACGACGGTTAGGATCAATGTGCGTGTGTGTGTCCGTGAAAAAAACAAACGCTGAAACAAATATCGAAGGCAATCAGATCATGTTTTACCTAATGAACACTAGAGGTCCACACTTGAACTAAGCTTGAATGTTTGCGGCTACAAGGCTACAAGGATTTTATCATAATACAATAACAAGTGATAGGAGTTTACGTAATCGACCTAAACTGAATAAAAAAAAAAAGAAAAAAAAATCCCTGCTATTCTTGTCGGGTTCTAAAGAAATTGTACGCATAGAAAAGTAGTTGAATTCATGCCTTCGTTCGTTTGTTATTTAGTCTCAGATTGCCGTCAATTGACGCCGCCGACATAACATCAAACAATGTTGTGTTTGTCGTTAGCTAAAGTTCATTGAACGCCACATAATTTACTCCATTATATCGTTTTCCTCCACACTCTTCTCACTCTCCAGCATCTGCTAACTTTTACTCTTTTAATTGTATGCGAGCATCAACTTTCTATTGTAAAACATTTTTAGAAATTTTAGTGTTACTTGAAAAAAAAAAAAAAAAAAATATACGCGACTTTTGTTTGCAACTGTCTAGAAGGTTTTCTATGTAAATGACAAAAACAAAAAAAAAATATACAAAGTTTTTAAAAATATTTTTTTTTTTTTTTTTTTTTTCAAGATCTAAGGACAAGTTAGAAAATTTGTGAAAAAAAAAAAAATTGAAAAAAAATTATTTTTCTAATTAAAGTAAGCTTTTATAAAATACATTTTGGAAACTTTTTTAAGACCTATGTATGGAAAAACTTTTTTGGCGAATGTTTAAAAGTGTCGCTTCGCTGTACTGAATTTCCATGAAGGAAAAGAAAATTCTTTTTTGGACATTTCTAACGAAAACTGAAAGGAACAGCTTTTTAAACTACTGTACTCTACGCCTGTTACGCTACAAGCATATATTAAGTTGGTGCGATTGTATGCAACACCCAGAGAGTTAAGGTAGACCCACCTTTTGTTAAATCGAACAATCCCGAATCAGTTTCGGATGCAATTTAAACATGTCTGTCCATGTGTCATTCTTCTTTTCTGCGTTCAACTGCCAGATCGGTGCCATAAGACAGTTTAATGAAATTTTGTACCCCGACATGTTTTGACCCAAAAACTATCGTTCATGAAAATGGCTCCAATCGGACTATATACTGGATAGATGCTTGTACGTGTTTTGATCATTTTTTCATTTGAAAAAGGCATTTATTGAGAAAAATTCCTACATTATATATATAAATCAAAATCAAAATATTTTCCATAATTTTCTACAATTTCTTCTCATCTTCCTGGCAACGTGGTTATGCCGTGCCAGCCAAGCCATCTTGCGTCGATCTGAACAAGTGACAATGGGAAGAGGCTATGTCTGGTGAGCACGCCGGGTGCGGCAGAACTTCCCATTCAAGCTACAACATTGTATCCTTGACAACTATTGGAAAATGTGGCCGTTCAATTGACATCGGTAGACATCTGCGGAAACAGTTTGAGTCAGTTTTAGCAACTCATAATGCATTGCACCTTACTGATCCCACGATGTATACAGTGCAACTTGACGACCTTGACTATTCTGCTGGATGGCTGTCATGGACTAATCCTCGTCTTTTTACGCTTGGCATTGTCACCACACCACAAAACATTCTTGTGTTTTTGTTTGGCAAACAATAAAACTGGAACGTTGGCGATTCTATGGTTAGCATGCACTGCATGCACTTTGTAGCTCAATAATATTAAATGGAAAGCTCTTACGTTTGGTAGAGACACGTCGAGATCATCAAATACAACTGTTGTTAATCATTTTCACCAATAGATAGCGCTGATGCAAAATACTTGCAATCACTTAATAGTAACAATTAGTAACGATTGCAGGGTGGTGTAGGGCATTTAGTGGTGGCCCCTGGCCAACCACAGTGGGTTGTTTAAGGTCCCTACAAACACTTGTTCACGTTTACAAACAGAGAAAACCTTTGTAAACCAATTTCTTCAGCACCTTTTCATGAAGACAATCTATGTATGCTGCTTTGTGCTCCTTTTAATATTGTGTCCACAAGTAGAACGGTCGCATAGAAAACCAACCGAATCGACCCAACCAACAACAGCCAAAAAAGAAGCAGAATAGTTTTGTGACTTCCCAAGTCTGCTTCCTCCTTCCTTTCTTCTTTCCTTAGAACTTGCTTCTACTTTTTTTAGCTTTTCTCGTTGTCCGCAATGCATTAAATTTGATACACAGAATTTTTGAAACCCATCACGCAAAGTAGGTTTCCTCACATCTCTTTGCAAGCGTGAACAGCAGCGTAAAATATATTTCAAAGTTACATTTTTAATTCTGCTGACCTACTTTATTACGTAAGAGTTCTTCAACAGAAGTGGTATGAGTTCTTTTTTACTCTCTTCGTCTCTCTTTGCAATTCTACAATGGAGTGGCAGAATAGACATGACCAGTGTGTAAAAATCAGTGTGTAAGACTTAATTTTATTTTTTTTTACTTCGCCTGCACTCATCTAATCATTTTCTCAGATAATGCTCAACCTTTGCTCTCAGCGATTCAGTGAATAAACTGTACTTCAGTGAGAAACTTTTCTATTCATTGTGAGGTTAATCTACAAAATAGTCACGAGTGATCTCTGTATATTCCACAAAAGTGACTGTCTGGAGTGATTTTTAGCTCAATGGCATCATCGGTTCTAATGCTTTTGAAAATGCGAAACGAGATCCGTTTTTACTGGGAATAACGAGCGCGGTAAACTGATTTTAGTGAACTCTTCCACAGTTTGGATTATACCACATAGACATAGATATGACGATGTCGATTTATCACATGATAAGTTTACTTGGCCGATAATTTCAAGAACCTCTGACAACGAATGTCTTATCGGAATATTTGAAGTCATTGACTTCTAACAAAAAAAGTAAATTCTGTTCACACATTAAAGGCAAAAGCAATCGAACAAAGTGCTCGATGCTCGGTGTTCATGATTTAGTTCGAATATGCTTCAAATTGAAAAAGTATTTTCTTATCTCCCTTAATACTGTTAGGGTTTCTACACTCATTACCGAAAGGTTGGATGTACATTCATGTTGTCTAAATATTTTCAACACCCGCAAGTTAATTTCAGAGAGCCCGTAAAGCATTCAGCATTGAACTCTGAATCGATTCAAGCATGTCCGTCTGTCCGTTTATACCACGTCAGTGGTAAACAAAGTCCAAGCTAGAATTATAATGACCTCAAATTGAACGGAAACATTGGATGTTGTTGTAGGCAAGTTGCTCTAAACTTATCGGCGGACACGTCCATGATGCAGTGTAGACTAATAACTCCTCCCTTTTTAAGAACAAGAACTTGTTTGTTTTAGCAAATTACAACAACCGATCAGTGGCAAAAGTTGATGATGGCAATATTTTTTTTTTATTTATGAAAAAATTGGACAAACTTTGAATGTTCTAGACTGTCACGCGGTGTATCTATACTTTTCTTATATTCATTATCTATCTGTGGCAAACATTTGATGTTGTATCATTTTGTAAATGTGTTCCGAGTCGACCTCTAAATCTGATCTCTCACTTCTTGACTTTTAGATTAAGTTTATTTATTGAAGATATGCTCCCAAGGCATTTATAACTTTCTTACTTGTTTGCTTTATTAATTAAAAAGAAAAAATTTTGCGTAGTGTAGAACATAACCTCAAACACCACATTAATCATTGATGCACTTTTCCGCTATGTAATAGTAAATATCCATATAAAATTAGAGACATAACGGTATGCGTTGGTTTCACATAATCATTTACAAATTCATTCACCTTACAACCAGTAGTTAAAACTCTTTGGCTTTATTTATTTCACACCACACACACGCGACAATTTATGTTCTTTATTATTCGTAAATGATTAGTTTTCTATTGTATGTGTATGCGTTTCAATTATTTTGCAAAGAAAAAAATTTTTTTTTTCTTTTTCTTTTTCGTTTTTTTTTGTTTTTATTTTCTATGAATTTATTTAAACAGGATGTGCTTGAGTGTCGGATTATTGAACTCGAGGCCGCTGTATTACGCCTGCAGGAAAAAGTTAATAATGTGAGTATATATCTATCAGTTGAATGGGAAAAGAGAGAGAGAGGAAAAAAGAAAGAAAGAAAAAAAAAGAAGAAAGCAATAAAATCTATTAAAATGCATAAATAAATAAATGGCACATTGCTTAGATGTGCGTATGTTTGTGCATAAAATGTAACTTAATGTTAACAAATGTTGTTGAAGTGTGTAACTAACTGACCATTAGAAATTCAATTTCCGAAAGTGTCACTAAAGTGCCTGAAATTATTGACGCCCCATGCATACATAGATACATCTGGCCATTAACTTTATTCGAATGTTGTAATGATTGTCCATACGATTCATATATGTAGGCATCGCATGATCGTAGATAGATACATACGTGTTGTTCTGCACAAAATCAAGATTTAAGTAAATTGCTTTAAAAGAAGTTTAAGCAACGACATGTCTGAATGGGAAAATTAAATAAGAAAACGAAACTCGAAGAAATACATTCATGTTGTGCATGTGTTAGTTGGATAAGCAATAACAACAACAACACAAGCAAACAAAAACTAAACTCATTCATTCATTTATGAATGCCTTCTATAATTCTTCTACATTTGTAGTTTATATATATAGAGAAATATGCCTGTGTGCAGGATATGTTTATAAACATGGATATAACGGCATATAAACATCTTCGCTTAACGTCCATAATAAACCTAAGCTGTAAGCCGACTGAGCTTACTTAGTTACTTCTTGCTGGGCGGTGGTCCGGTGATCTCCCAAGCCCTGTACACAATGCACAAAAATACTCCCCTTGTTGTGCATGCATGTATGCATGCATGCATACATACATGCACATGTAAATAATATTCGCTTGTAATATAACACTTTTCTAAGTAAATCCGAGCATTTCGTATGCAAAAGCCATAGCTGTACTCATCTAATTTTCAGAAATACGTTAAGAAGGCTTAAATCTCTCACGACTACCATTGCAACACAACACGCCACATACATTTTTAATACTAATTCAACTATATATAAATAAATAAAACACCGTACGTTGGGGGAAGATGAAGACCAACACATTTTCTATTCCTTTTACTTTTATGTCCGCCCGTAACCAGATGTCGAAAGTATACTAAATAATACAATTTTGCTTAGAATGGCCAAGAAGTACACATCAGAGTCATTCATGCATATATTTAAATACTAATTCGCCAGCCATTCCATTCGGACATTTAGATACCATTCTGGGCGTTCCTCGGCCTCTTTGATTGAAATTCTCAAGATGACAACAATTTAAGACTGACACGTGTGATCGTTTTTATTGTGCATATACCCCGATAGAATTTATTTTCAAATTTTTAACTCGATCCGCATCTTCGAAAAAGGCAAGGTCTATCTAAACTATTTTTAATCAACCGAAGCGTAACAGTCGCAACTACTTGTTCCCGGGTTCAAATCTCAGTGCGGTGCGATGACTGTACTTCGTCGTTGCTATTCTTGGTCGTTCCTCTTTTTTTATTATTTAGAAGCCTATAAACAATATTATCATCAAAAACAACTGCGCTGGTAAAATTTACAATGTAAAGGAAAAATTTTTTTGATCTTGTCTGATAATCCTGATCGTACAGATAGACACTTTCTTGACACCTCTTTGCTCATTTTGGGAATATCTACCTTCCCGCAAAGTCGAGGAAACAAGTGACTACCAAGTCGATGTTCACGCATTGAAATCTCAGTGTGGTTTGATGACCTTATTGGCTCGTAGCTATAGTGAGAGATAAGTCGTGGCCGATTGCGCGTACCCCTCCCCGCCACCCCTTGCCTATTTCTTTTTGCTACAATTCTCTGTAACTGTTACTAGGCCAAAGACATAGGGGCCACTCTCCACTCCCTTGTTCCCTTGTTTGGATGAAGCCCACAGTGAGATGAAAAAAATGGTACGGCAAGTATACCAAATTCGTTTTAAAAGAAAGTCATCTATCTCTAAGCTTGTTTTTCTCTGTGTTCTTTCACTGCAAACACCTAAAACAAAATCGTTTTCATTTCATATCGTGTGCTTCCCTTTTACGCCTTCGCACATGAAGGCTTTTAAAGAAGACATTAATCCTGCTTATGGCCAAATATACATATATATGTCTCGGTATATATGAATATTTACGCATCTAAACTCTATCCTTTCCGTTTATGTATGGAAGAAAAGATACGCTTTCATCAAAAATGTTTTTTCTTTTCTATTTTTCCTAATTCTCCCCAATTTTGCTTTACTCATTCAAAAATACTCCATTCAGTCATTCGTTTTTGGGTGTTTGACTTATGATATTTTTCTTATTTGTTGTTGTTGTTTGTCATGTTGTATTTTTCCTTTAATGACCGCTTTGTGGTTAATACCATTAATACTTGTTTCTATCCTTGTATCCCCCATTACGGTATTTGCTGTTTTTTCTCTTTTTTTTTTTGCAACGCATGCTACTAATGTGATATCCTCGGGGAGCTTTCGATAAATTCTTAACATATATTCCTGTTTTGGTTTAGGGTTGTTTGTCACACACACTTCAAATTTGTTGTTTTACTAATTAAATTGAATTAAATGTAATATGTTTGTTGTAATCACTAATGTACATGCAAACATCATTAGTATAAATTACATAATGCTTACTACGAAAATGATGAATTTTTAAAGGGGCAACGAAATCGAGAAATTATTTCAAATTTTAAAGAGATTGAATGCAAAGTAAAATTTTTTGCTTAATAACATAATAAAATTTTATTGAATATTTCCTCATTGCGTTGCACTTCTTTCAAAGTCTGCACATGTTTGGCGAAAATTCATCGAATGCGAGACATGACCGTTTACGTACACGACCTACAAAATCGATTTAAATTTGCTTTCGTTAAACAATTTTCATGATTTGTGAAATCCAAACAAATATTAATTGGATAGAGACGGATTCTGGCAGGAATATTGACGTGCCGCAATCATATCCTGCCAACTAAAGCCATTGAGGGAAAACTTAATATGCGTATGCATTTGTATTATAACACACCGATCAATAATTTCCGGAGCTAGCGCATAGGTTTCGTCTCTAAAAAAAATTCCTATATCCTGTGCAGTAAAGCGTTGATGAAGAAGGATTACATGTGGAAGAGGACAGGATTTGTGCAGGTTCAATTTTAAATGTAGACATTGGAAGGGCTGGAAAGATTATTGCACAAAAATTTCCCGCCTTGGCGAGTCGCCTTGTGTGGCATCCGAATAACTCTAACACAAGTTGTTGAAAACGCTGTGAGAGCCTCGCCATCCTGTTAATATACTTGCTTGCACGAATCTCCTTTATCTTCATAGGACACTTATTCGGGAATACCTACAACCAAAACGTATAGTTACCAGCAATAGTTAATACCGTGAATGTATTTAAAGGCAGCGCGCTCTGTGCGAAAACTTGGGCATTGGAAATCTGTTTTCCACATAGGTGTCATGCACAGTGGAGCAAATGTACTTTATCGCAACTCGAAGCCTACAACGACAAAATTGCATGAATTCGAACTGCTACAAATCATTCGGAGATAATTATTTCGGAAACTTAGAAGATATCTTATGATCTTGTTATCCTGACCAATCTATCTTCTATGAAAACGGCGTTAAAGTGTCAGAGGTGATCCTATCATTCATCAAAGAAACTACGCCGGCAAGCAAAAAATATCGAATTTTGCTAAAAAGGAAAAATGTTTGTTCCGGAAATTATTGACCAATGTATAAGAAGTAATTAAAAATTTTTGAAATGTTGCCCAATTTGGCTGAACTGGTTTGAAGCGTGAAACATAACAATCCAGCAGTCGGTAAGTTTGGTTCTTATGATCGGTACAGAAACTGAATTGGAGACTTCGTTTAGGGCGTTTAAAAGTCAATCGGTTAACTTTTTTACTGAAAGCTATGGAAGTGTACTATAATTTCTTAAGCCAAGACCTGGGTACTTTTAAGGAAATAACTCAAGCAAATGTATTTTAAACTCAAAGATCAAAGAGATGTAGTAAGCTCTACTGCAACAAATTGCTGGAAAGGTCTGAAAACTTCTATGCAAAGGTAATGATGCAGTTGCAAAGCAAGTGATTGAAAATCATAAAACAGAATACATACGAAAAAAATAAATAAAATAAGTGAGTGACTTTCATACGTTGAACTCGATTCATTTCATCTCGCAAATGTTTGCGATGGCGGTCAGAAGAAAGTGAGGAAAGGGAAAGAGAAGGGGAAGATGGCTAAGGCCTAGTGAATGTGTGGACAGTCGGTAATTTCTTGATTGACTAGGCATTCATTCTACCTTCGACCAAAGTAAACACTATCGCGCTCGAATTTGGAACCGAGATTACTGACCTGGCCGTCGCGATTTCTATCTGAATACATAAATATACATACTGAAATCGTTTTCTAAAATGCTTTTGTCCAACAGTTTTACAACAGAGACGATCGTGTCGGAAGGTCAGTCGGTACTACTTTATTCTCAATCCAATTTGCGAACAACATCGGTTTTCTAAGCTATCTTAAATCGTTGTTAATAGGACTACCTTTCCAATCCAATTGTGAATATCCCATGAGTCATAAAAAAGGTTAATAACCCGTCAGTCGTGCGTAATTTATTATTAAAAGGTCACGAATCGAGTCATTAAAATTAGATACACACGTTCGCATAATAAATTTTGCGGAATAGTCAGAGTGAAACGAATAAGATTTCATTTGTATTAAATGATAAGTTAACACATAATTTTTAAAAATGTTATTTGCTCAAAAAACTAATAAGATTCATAAACAGCTGTAACTAAAAGAAATATCCCCGATTTTCTATATAAAACATGAGGGAGTTCAAATAAAAAATAGGAGGTAGAGGAGCTCAAGAGCAAAATGTCTTCTCATAACTTCTTTTGCCTTACCTTTCGTCCAGCAAGGGTTTATATTGTAATCAAGGACTGCTCCCGAATTCCTTACTTTTGTATCAAAAAATTTTACTACATTTTTTTTTTTAACTTATAGCAGA